TGTACTGTGACGTCACTTTGACATTTAGCGACGTTTTTGAAAACGCCGTCATAGACATTTATACATTTTAAAAATCTAACCGTTGGGATGGGATATAGTGACGTTTTTTAAACGCCGCCATAACCTTTTTTTTTTAATTTTTAGATTGTGTTAATTTTATATGGTTGAATAAAAAAAAAAACTTGGCAAACAATTATTAAGAACTAATAATTAATGACGCCGCTAAAAGTACTAAAAACGTCGCTAATTTTACGCCGCTAAAAGTACTAAAAACGTCGACGACGCAGCCGTCGCTATAACTTTATGGCATTTAAAAAATGTCATTATATGAGTCGCCAAATGTCCTACCCTAACTGTACTGTGACGTCACTCTGACATTTAGCGACGTTTTTGAAAATGCCGTCATAGACATTTATACATTTTAAAAATCTAACCGTTGGGATGGGATATAGTGACGTTTTTTAAACGCCGCCATAACCTTTTTTTTTTAATTTTTAGATTGTGTTAATTTTATATGGTTGAATAAAAAAAAAAACTTGGCAAACAATTATTAAGAACTAATAATTAATGTTTATTAAAATAATAAATAAACTAAGCTTGAAAACAAAATTAAAAATAAAAAACAATGCATTGCATACATAAGAATAGAAACAATTCAGACTTTAAATACATCAATTAAAATCAAAATGGTCTAGAAGTGTAATTTGCCCAAAAAAATTAAAAAGGAATAAAAAGCACACTAATATGGCTTATAATATTAAAAATATCACTTGTCTTCCAACTATATCCAAAGATGAGCCTAAACTATATGCAACAGATGATACATTTGGAACCATACAGTACGCTATAATCCAATTAAACAAGATAAAAAGAATAAGAACTTTCTATGAATTGCCATTAGACCATTGATAGAAGACATATATGTTCAAAACATGGTTCAACTACCATACACTATGCTTCTTGAATAAAGAATTCAGTTAACCCTTTTTGCATAAGCAGTTAATTCCCATTGTTTACATACCCATAAGATGCTTGTAAGTTTCATTTTTTCCCAAGAAAATATCAGAGTTGGCTTCTTGCTTCTCATGTTTGGCTATAATAACCTTTTTCTGAAAATCTAATGGTATATCCTTAGGTAGCTGTGCTTGCAATTTGTCTTTGTCTGCATTTATTGATAGTTCCACACATTTTGGATCTTTATTGATGCTTAAGCTCTCGTTCTTGATAGTCTCTGCATCCTTAGCCACGGAATCCTTGGGATTAAAAGCATCAAGAAAACCTTTCATTGATGCTCGTAAGCTGCAACAGAAGTAGATCGAATTAGTACATGGAGAGCATTCTGACAATTATGTTAAAACTGAAAACAAATTAATTAAACATATACTTTGGAAAATACCAAAGGAGCTATATTTGACCATCACCAGCTAAACATCTATAATTGGTTCATACCTTACCTTTAATGCCTTTGGTATGTTGTGGAAAGGTGCATGATTTTATAGATATCCATAAAAGTATATTAGAATTAGTAATCACCAAAAACTAGCAGAACAACTTATGCTTTCTTAATTCCATTTGTTTATAAACGAGTGATATAGGATTTCAGCAGCTAATATGCAACTTAAAACTCCAGAAGAAAGCTCAAATCTCTACCATTTGGGGTTGAATTCTAGTTAATAGTTCATATCTGTCTAGAGCCACATCTTCCAATCATTGTCTGGAAGCATGTAGACCCATTGGTGAATGAGAATATGCAAGACACCAAAAAAAAATATAGGCAGATAGATGATGCCCCAAAGAATGTATAACAGATTATAACTGACATGACAGTTTTATAGCTCACACTAGCCTTCTATCAGGTCTACATTTTTGCTCCAGGCATTTTACATTCATGAACCCTGGTCACTACCAAAAATATTAACTTCATGGAGCTAATGAAAACATTCAACTAGTTAATCACATTTGACATTGCTACCTGTCATAAAATCAGTTTGAAGTAGACACAGTAAACAAATAAACAATCTTCTCAAAACAAATATTAGTAAAAAATAGGAATAAAAGACCAGACATTCGGATGGTTTTGATATACACCATGACAGAAATAGAAACCATAAGCCTCAAAAGGAAGCAATTCCTCTCAAAAATGCAACACACCAACAAACAAATTAATAAGAAAGAAGAGTGTGCACCTTGGCCACAAACATATCTCTGCACCATTGGGCGACAGCATCGTCTGTTTCAGGAAAATCCTTCATTAAATGCCGCTTGAGGTGCACATGCATCTGTACAACAGTGAATACTTAACATTTATACACATAAATCGGACATCTTAATATCATGACAAATTTCTTTAACTAATGATTTATTCCATTATGCTAAAGCTATGCTGCTAATCACATATTGCAATAAGTTGATGATTGAGCTAAAACTATATCCAGACTTTGATCTGGTCATGATAAGACAAGATGCAAACAGATAAAATACAAAACAATGCCATTGCTAAAACTATATCCAGACTTTCACCGCATTATTGCAATAAGTTGATTGAGCTAAAACTATATCCAGACTTTGATCTGGTCATGATAAGACAAGATGCAAACAGATAAAATACAAAACAATGCCACTGCTAAAATCATAACTTTTAGGCTTTACCCACATTGTTCCCTCTCACATAGGTGGACCCCACATGAGAAAGGAGGCTGTGGAATCTGGATGCAGCCATAACGCTTGTGGATTTAGCAATCTCCTAAACACTACTAAAGAAGTGCATCATTCTCATGGCACCTTTACTGGCCAGACAGATTAATATATAATAGCATCAAGGTTACCCGAGCATCATTACTGAAGAATAACAAACTGAGTTCCGGGTTGACTCTTAGAGTAGAAACTAGCAGCATTTTAAACAGCACTATGAGCAGAAAAATAAAACCAAAGAAGTCAAATAAAATAAACAGTACAAAGAACCAACCAGATAAACCATGAACCTCGAGCAACTAAGGTAAAAAAAAAAAAAAATCTTTAGTTTTTATTGCAAAACAATATTCCATTTTCAACAGAAAATGAAAAACAAGAAAAGGGGGAACAACTGCGAATGTGTTTAGGAGTTTGTTTCTGGAAATGCAAGTGCGAAGATTATGACCCATTATCAAGAAGCAAACTACCTCCATTGTTACACTAGCATTCAAATATTTTCTCCAAGGAAAAAGAACACTAGAAAACAATTCTCATATTTATTCACCCTTTTGTGTCGGTGTTTTTCTTTTTTTTTTTGCAAAGTTACAGATATTCATACTATTAAGTGCAACCAAACAGGCCCCAAGAATCTGCATAGAAATTAAATAATAAACAACATACCTATAAACATACAACATCTGTAAGATTACTCTCCAAGTTTTCAAATGGTACAGTAGAATGATCATCAACCATGTTATCAGAAAACCCAAAAACAGTAGCACGAACAATGCACCGAGAAGTCAAAATGAAATGCATTAAAAGTTAAAAAATTAACATTCCAGCTCACATCCAATGTCAAGAAAGCATGAAAAATAACAATTTAAATATAACATCTTTATAAGAAGGGCCTAGAAGCAAAGAAGAAGCACTAGATTATCAAATTATCAGTTCTTCTAATAGAATTTTGGACAGCATTACATCATTTTTTTTCCCCTTAATTCATTAGAAGACACAGATATTCATAAAATCATTGATATTAAGGTACTGCAATGCCAAGGTCCAGCCTCTCACCTAAAGACCCAAAGGGAAAAATTACATATCATAAAAAACCTAAACCCTGATTAAATACAATGATATAAAATAAATTTAAACAAATCAAAGTTTTGGCAGTACCAATCCTGATGCATTCTGCAATAACAAAAACCTCACCCAGCTGGATTTGGATGTTGCTAAATCATAGGCATCACCCCAAGATGCCAAACCATCGCAATTGCTGAGTTCCCAACTTAAATGGAGAACAGATGAGTTTCCAAAAGCTTTTCCAGATTCACTTATACCTACTGAAGATACTCGAATAGTGCGCCCATTTGCTACAGTGATAGGAGTAGTACGCACTCGCCCTGGACCATGGTCGGCTTGAATTGCACTCCAAATAACACCAAGTTTATTCGCTAAAAGCATGGAATAAATTTATTCAAATAAGAGAACAATTATTTCTAACAAATTAAAATAAGATTCATATCATTGATTTGAAAGACAGTAAGATTAAAAGAATATGCCTGCATCCATATTGATGAAAGGGTATCATCCTCATACCAGGTTCATCAGTTATTAGTACAATAGTGGAAGGAAAACTGCATCTAAGCGACAGTTCCACTTCTGCTACAGCAGGCAGAGGATGGTCATCTCCAACCAAGTTTCCGCGTTTGAAAATAATTCTTTGGGTTATTACATATTTGAAACAAAAAAAAAAAACATCCAATCACATTGTTGAGTTGGTGTAGGCCACCTAATAGGTTTGCCATTTTTGAGTAGAAGAAATACAATCACATAAGGATTGTTATATTTTGAGAGTAAATCCAATGATATGTGCAGCATCCATATGAATTGAAGGTGTAAAAAGCATAAGAATTAATCAAATCATTCATTAATGTATTTCAATTTCTTATAATTATCTCAAATAATATGTGGAACTTACTTTGTTACGGACACTGCAGAATCCACTGAACTGCAGTGTTGCTCCCAACAGAGAGTCTATGACACTTCCACAAAGCCCCGCCAAAGCAGAAATAGGTATTACTAGTAGCTGCTTTAGAGCCACGTCATAAGCGCATCTTGTTGTGAAAAAGCCTATGAGAACGAATGTCAGTCCAATGATGTTGCCTGCCACAGCAGCTGTTAGGAGTCCTGCTTTTGTCACACCACCATTTGTACCCCGCCGAACTGGCTGATAAGAAGGAAGAAAACAAATAGAATCAACACACATGGCATTGAGCTTACAAGTGAAATACCAAAATGGATGATTAGTTAATTGTTTTAAAAATAAACGAAAAGGGAAATAGAGAAGCTCTGGACAAAATGGGAAGAGGTTAAGAGGGTGAATGCAAGAGAGTTAGTAAAACATTATGAGAGGCAACTTTTCAAAAAAGAAGAAGAAGAAGAAGAAATTATGAGATGCCATTCAGCAGTAGTAAGATTTTTGAAAAGGTATTTATGCAGTATGCAACAAACATAATGGAAAACTCATATAGAAGGTACAAACATCCTTCTCTCTATTGAGATATGTGAAATATTTAATATTTACTACATTTAATCATATTCTGACTCATGCTGCAGCTAAACTGCGAGGTTGAGTGGAATGCATCAAAAGCTCAAGAGAGTGAAACAGTAAGTTAATGCTTCAACTTAGTAGTTAGATAAGATTAGATTACAGGAAAAACAAGCCTAAAAATATACGGCACCAGGAGAGAGCAGAACTAAATGCAGCTACGTCTTGGCCCCATTAACTTAGTGGTATTTGATATAGATCTTTCACTAAAGATTTTGAATCTAGTGAGATTTCAAGCTTACTACTAGCTGCTTCTGAGTTTTGTTAACTTGTAATTCAGCCTCTCCATCTTTGTCTCCAATGCACTTTTTCCATTTCTCTATTGCTTTGAATCCAGTGAGATATAGATCTTTCACTAAAGATTTTGGATCTGGAACGCGTTCCTGATACAAATCACAAAAGTTCATTTTCCATGTCAATAATGGCAGGAGGGTCTAGGGAATAGCTAACCATTTTCTAATCATTTATCGTACCAGGGATATATATATACTAAGATCGTCTACTAAGGACATGCCTGGTCAAAAGTGAAACAACGAAACATATTCATGTAGTCAATATCCATCCATATAACATCACAAGGTATACCTTTCTCCCGAAATGTTCTGGCAATCTGCATATGTGAAAATACAAGGATAAAAATATCTAGAAAGTAGAGGCAACTATAGAAAATTCACAGCTTTCTTCTGTTTTCTTTTGAATTTAAAAATAAAATGACTTCCACAATTATAAATGTGAGGATCAGCTTTTACTCATCAAAAAAAAAAAAAAAAAAAAATATATCCTATGTCAAATACCACCTTGATTGTGAACTTGGTCATAAGATACCAAAAACAAAAAAAAAAACAGTGGAAAAGAATAGTTATGCACAAACAAACATTTATATATATATATATATAGAGAGAGAGAGAGAGAGAGAGAATTTATTTAGCTCTTTAAATGCAAAAGTAATAACCTCACGATGCGTCAGAGTCATAGCTCCAATGACATTGATGATACCCCAGTGACCACTTTGGCGGCATAAATACAGTACCTAGTGAGAAAATATGAATTATCCAGCTCCAAGTGAATGAAGAATTCAAACCTATATGTAGCTGAAGGTTAAGAACTTTATGAAACCCGATATAGAGATAATGATACCTGCATAATCTCAGGTGCATCTGGCCCACACATGGATGCTCTAATAACTTTATCTATCTCAGAATCAACAACAAGCTTCATAACCGTTTTCTCTTGCTGTCTGTATACATAATTGCGTCAAATGGAATTCCACAGATAATCATGTTTTCTAGAGAAAAAATCCAATGACTTCAAAGTATTGAACCATTAGGAATCATCAAAAGAAGAAATTCAAAATCCCTTGCCTTGCAAGCCATGACATTACAACAAATTCCTACACCAAGAAGGTAAGTTGTTTCCCTCTAAGCTTATAAAGTTATCTACTAAATTAGATGTCCAATCACATGCCCTGAGACAGTGTTCTTCATAGGATTGAACGTTGACGTAAAAATCGAAACATCACCCTTTGCTTGCTCAATAGCCTCTTTTTCACTTAATCTAACAACACAAAGAGGTGGTATGCTGTAAAACAACAAAAAAACACAAGCTAATCATATATTACAAACAAATTTCAATAAAAAGATAAACAGAATTGGTTCATTAGAAAAATGAAACTACTGGAACAACTTATTTCTATCAAGCTCTGAATAGGAATAAAAACTGTAAAACTGCACCAAGAACAATTTTAGCACTTCCATTATACTGATGGATACTCTCAGGTGAATTATATGAGGGAAGAAAAATGAAGCATTTGCTAGAACAGAAGAAACTTTACTAGAATACAGCACAAGGTACATTGTTGTAGTCAGGTTTGGTAGGCTGCCCACCAAAAACAGTTTTCTGCAAGCAAAGCAAAGAATTGAATGATGAATTAATAACAGAAAAAAAAGAGAAGAGAATTCAATGATGATAACTAATCAGGGTACAGATTGAGCACACACTGAAAAGCAGGTGCCTTCCATCAAGGCCACGGGAGTAAGATTCAATCTATTTATGACATCACCAACAGCCCATATACTAGGAATGTTTGTGCGAGAGAACTCATCCACCTGAAATACAAGATGAAAGGGGTAGGGAACCTCAAAGAAGTTAACTTCTCATGGTACAAACATTTTTTTCACAAGCAAAACAATTTTGAATCACCAACATCAAATAGACCACGAAATAATAGATTGAGGTGAAAACATTGTTAACCAAACAAAGGAGAAGTAGTAATGAGCAAATGCTGTGAAAAACCTCAAAATAAACTCAACCATCTCTGATACACGTAGCACTGAAACACTAACCCAAAAAAAAAAAAAAAAAACCCTCATAAATACAATCTCACTCTTGTTCATAATTTTTTGAACATTGCCAATGCCATACACACATCATCACATCAAAGAACAACAAATGCAATAAAAGACGAAGAAAAAGTTATTAACCTTTACGGCTCCCATCTCGTCAAGCTCAACACCTACAGCTTCCAAATTCAACCTCTTTGTGTTAGGAAGCCGACGTATAATCAATGAAAAATACTTTATTATCCCAAAGATTACATTAAAAACCTCAACAACTAAAATGATTGCTCACTAAATTTATAGAATGTTAGTACTAATGTACACACACACCTATATAGAAGAAACCGAACATGATGTGCGGTTAAAAACCAGTCCACCTAGGGCGCTAGGACCAACCGATAACAAGGCCGATCGTGACAGTGAGCCAAATCAGGACTGAGGAGAGTAAAACGTCGAGGAATGTCTCGGCGAGGCCTGGGCAGTGTAGAAAATAGATCAAATCGAAGAAGCTTTGCTCCATTATCGATCGGTGTCTATACAGATATGTGTATGTACATGAGAGAATCGATAAATATACATATATGTATATGTATATACAAAGTGGAAGAGATAAGAAGATGAGGTGATAAGCCATGGAAGCTTGCATAGATGGTGGTGGCGGTGGAGCTTTGAAATCGAGAGAGAGAGAAATCAAAATCACTCTGAGATGAAATCAAAGATAAATCTTTGAAAGAGAGATCTAGAGAGAGAATCGAAATCGCGGTGGCGGTGCAGATCGATCTGAAATCGGTGAATCTATGAAATCGGTGAATCGATGAATCTCGCTACCTCGCCGGTGCAGATGGTGGTGGAGGTAGAGCTTCGAAATCGGTGAATCTGTGAGATTTGAATATAAGATTCGATGTTTAGAGAGGATTGAGAGAGAGGCGACGTGAGGATAAGGGTTTAGAGAGGATTGAGAGAGAGGCGCGCCGTGAGGATAAGGGTTCAGAGGATTCAACGTTTATGTCTAAAGACCTGAAGGGTTACAAAGCTTTATTCTCAGATTCAAAATAGGCGCGTGCGGTGTACAGCATTTGGAGGCGCTTTTAAACGCCTTCGATCATAAAACGGTGTCGTTTTAATTAAATAAATATGTGACGTTTTTAAAACGTCGTTAAATATTAATAAAGATGACGTTTACGAAAATGCCGTTAAAAAAATGTCGCAAAAATGCTTATTTCTTGTAGTGACACTTTTAAGGATAAGAGAGAAAAATAGCATTCTTAGAGATGAAGAAACTCCAACTATAAGAAACTCCAACTATTTTGTGTGTATAATATTGCATACCAAAAAAAAAAAAATTATGTAAAATTTGTCATTAAAATGATGTGACAGTGACATCGAATTAATTTAATAACTAACAATTGATTTTTACCAATAAAGAGTTATATATAAACTCATAATACAAACAACAAATTTTTTTTTTTTATTGCACATCATTGTGTACTTGAATTTTGTGAGTTATTATACTGTTGAGTATCCTTAACCATATATATATATATATATATATATTAGCAGTGTGTGTGTGCACACCCAACATTATAGGTTATAAATTTTGATTTGAATCTGAATAATATTATAGTTGTAGGAGGTTTTGATCGAGCAGTTACATTAGAGTATTGACTTCTTAAATCTAGAATTGTAATCTTTTAATTTAGAATTGCAACCTTTTTTTTTTTTTATCGGCAACAGAAAAAGCTTTATTGATGATACACGCATACAAGGCATGGAAATTACATCAATAAAGAGGAGTTTGGAGCTAAAAAGTTCCAACCTCCTAGTTGGTGAGAGACCAACAAAAAAACCAGAACCTGATGGAAACAAAAGAGAAGCTCAAAAACTCCAAAGCATAAAATGCACAGAACAAGATAGCAGTAAGCACCATTCCACCTCATTTCACAACTAGTAACAGGAAAATTCTTTTATAGCAGCATAATCAGAAGTTGAGAACCAAACCAAGTATAGCAGCTCCACCAACTCAAACAAAGTAAAAACACCATAGCAAAGAAATTAACTACAGCAGGCCACTTAGGCTGTATTTGATTTACTTGAAGTTATAGAGGTAATCTGAAATGAAGAACGGAGACTCCTTGGATGTGGCCTTTTAACCAGATAGCTAGCCTTGTGATGATAAGCTCTTGTAGCTCAACCATCTTAGGTTGAGAACCTTGAAAGAGGCATTCGTTTTTGTGCTTCCAAATAGACCAGAGAGCCACCAAGGGTAATGCTCGCCAAATTCTTCATTCCTTTTTATTGCAGCAGTGCCCTGCCCACCAATGTAGCAGGCCTTCAATGGAACTTGGTACCACCCAAACAGTCCTCTACCACTGCAGCAGGTCAGACCATATCCTCCATACTAAAGGGCAAAGAAAAAGCACATGTTCGCTTGTTTCATTATGAGATTTACAGAAGATACACAGAGTGGATGCCGACAAATTTAAAATACCAATCCGGTGCAAGAACACAGATGTTTTGATCCTATGCTTCCATGTGAGCTAACCAAAGAATTGCACTTTGAGAGGAATGTATTTGATCCAAATTGATTTACTGGTGCTATCTTCACAGCCAAGAAAGTGACTACTATGTTTGTAAAAAGCAGAGACAAGAGACTGACCAGGCTGAGCTGCTAGACACACAACCCAATCTTGGACCTCCTGATTTAGCCCAGATACCGCTGATAAGGAGCCAATGAGTCTGTGTAATTCCACTTTTTCCCAATCAAATAGGGGCCTCCTGAAATTAAAAAGCCAATTTCCAGAGGAGTTTGAGGGGTCCACAAAATCCTTAAGATAACCCATTTGATCAGAGGACAAACGAAACAATCTTGGGAATACATCTTTGAGACAAATGTTAGCACACCATCATGCTAGAATTTGATTCTGGAACCATTGCCCACTTTTAATTGCAGGTTATTAGCATAGTATTGCAAGAGGAGGTCCTTCTGTTCCACTCCTGCTATTATGTCACTCCAAATTCTGGAAAGATTGATGCTTGAGATTGGAGATGGAAGCCAGATGTAGACGTCCCCGAACGTCCCGGGAGGAAATCCCCCCACCCCCGTTTTGTTCATTGGGCTCACTACAGTTCAGGACTCAATGTCACGGTCCTGTATCTAATCTCGCAGAGTGCAATGCAAGACCGATGAAATCATCAAAGAGTCCAAATCCGGCAAATCGTTTTTGAAAACAGATTTTTTGAAAGAAGTGCCAAACATGGACTGCTTTGCCAGATACAGAGTCGCCACCTAAATATTTTATTTTGGAAAATTTAGGAAACCCTGACTCGTTGCCTAAGGCCACGTGTCCGTCATCACCAAAGTTGCCTCGGCTCGGGAACTTGGATACGATTGGGGAAGGTCACTTCGTGAGCACCCCCGCTCGCCCGGTCAATGGATACGACAAGGCCAAGATGATATCAAGTTTTGAAAACATTATGCATTCTTACGCCGGTTATTAGCCTAGATTTACTACGTGATTCGCACAACAAACAAGTATAGACTAAGTCGCCTAAATTGGAACGAAACATGTCATGTTTGTTTGTTTGAAAATTGTTTGATGGTGCTACCCGACCATAAAACTCACAAAATAAGTCTTGGAATGTGACTTCACAACATGCAAAATGGAGCTCCTTTGGAAGGCCAACAAAACTAGTAAAGAGAATGAGGGGTGAGAGGGTCACCCCTCTATGATTTTGGAGCTCAAAGACACATCAAATTCATTGAAAATCCACTGGATTTCAGTGGCTAAGAGGCCAAAACAAGTATAGCCTTATGGTAAGCATGCTATCATGGCAGTCACTCACACACATGCAAGGATGCTAAAGCATAAAAGCTTACCTAGTACTCCAAGCCAAAACATAAACTATGTTAGAAATCAATGCATGATCCTAACTATGCCGAAATGCCTAATACAACACATGCAAAATGCAACTAAGATAGGCTCGGCTATTCTAAACATGGCATATGATGATGCTACAGCTAGCACATATTCAATTTGGAATTTGAAATACAAATGCAGTTAGTATGATGCGCCGAGCACGGTGCATGCAATACCGATGAATGATGCGAACATGCTATCATACTGTATGCTAATTGAAACATGCCCTAATCTAACCATCATAAGCTGGCAAATAAAAGGGAGAAAGACGTGGGGTTGGAAAACATACATCACACACACGCACACTTATTACAATTGTGCCCTCACTCGGAGGGTCCGAAAGAATAATACAGTCCGAATGATAATACAGTCCGAAATGAATAATTAAATATTATAGAACCCTAATTAATTAACAAATTAATCTAGGAAAGCGAGTAAATTAGCATGCAAGCCTATGGACCGCCTCAGCTCTGTTCCAAATGATGGGAGATGCATGCTTGAGTTGCCTGGCGCGGAAATCCATTGCGATGCACCAATCCGCCTCTGTTTGCAATTAATGCCGGAATACTGTGCAAGGCTTTAGAAAGCTGTTGATTTCTGATTTGCTGCAACAAAGAGCAAGAAAGGGGCATGGCAAAGTATTTTCACATATGTATGCATGACTACTCTTTAAGGAGTGTAGTCCTCGATCCTCGTGCCACCAATCACGCATCTTGATGCATGATGGACGAGGAGTCGAATTGCACGACTCGATGTGAAATGAATGCACATGAAAACACAACAAGACCTAGACTCCATCATGGGTAATCCGGAGTGTCGGCGACCGGGAATTGAGACACGTTCCGTCACTCGAAGTGCGAAACGTCTCTCATTTCTCGTGCTTGGGCTAACTCCTATCCCAAACATAATGCAAATGAGGTGGCATACACAATGCGACTAACATACAACCTAGCATACGCAATGCTATGAAATGGCATACACAATGCTCGATGCAACATGACATACACAATATTCTAACATACAACCTAGCATACGCAATGCTATGAAATGGCATACACAATGCATAATGGACTTACACCAACATGAGTGGACCTTAGCCACACTCACATCAGTGGCCATTAGATGAAAATGAGACAACCGAAATGTGTGCACACATTGCACGCAAACCGAGGACCGAATCTAAGGCATTGAATGCCACTTTACCAAAACATGGCAAGGATGAAGCATGGCATTCAAATTGTAATTTTTAGCACTGAAATATAATGCTAAATGGTCCTGAAACATGGAAATATGGCACCCGATGCATGGAAAGCCCCGAAACTCAAAACTAGTCTAATGCATTGAACCACAAGTACACAAAGCAAGGATTATTGATCATGAAGTCTAAAGACAGACCAAGGCAGTCCCCAAACAGGCACATTTCTAGTTTAAAGCATGGCCAAAAGATGCTAACATGATGGACTAAAATAGCATGCAACATTGGCTAGTAAGCATGGTTTACATGGCATGTATATGAGGCAAATGAGAACTCATCAAACCAGCCAAAAACAGTGAATAAAACATGCCAAAATATGCCCAAATAATCACTGAAATGCAGCCACTGCATGCAAAAATGAGGGGCTTCTTTGGAAGGCCATTCAAGGGGTTGTTAAGCACATGTAAGATAGACACTTAGCATGACCAAACCAACTCTGGAAACGAGTTATGACAGCCCTGAAATGCACAAAATTGGCCCTGAAATCAGTCAAGGAAGCATACAATGAAAGGGCCCCTCAAAAGGCCTTGAATGGAATTGTTCTACACATGCATTGTAGGTATAAAATATGGCCAAAAGGGGCCCGGACAGACCTAAGGCATACACTAAAACCCACAAAATTGGGCCCAAAAAGTGACTTCAATGCATGCAAAAAAGGGTCCCTTTGGAAGGCCCAAAAGACCCCCAAACAAGACAAGGAGAGAGGGGGTCACCCCCCTCTAATTTTGGCCCTCAAAAATGCATCAAAGCCACTGAAAATCCACTAGATTTCAGTGGCTAATAGGCCAAACCATGGCCAATGTAAGTGCTCTAATGCATAGCCTTAATCATGAAGAGATGAAGCAGGCATAGGGGGAAGATGACCCCAAACAGAAATACAAAACTTGAAGAGGATGTCAAAACAAGACTTTTTTCCAGTTTATAGAAAATCTCGAAAATGCTCACAAGTAAAGCTAAAATAGGATGCAGAAATAACCCTAAAAAAGAGATAGAGGATAAGGGGAAGTAAATGACCTCAAACAGCAAAGTGTCCTTCAACAAAGTTGAAGAGGGGATCAAAATAAGACACTTTACAGTTTGGGTCGAAGCCCAGAAATGCTTGCAAATAAGGCTAATCAATCATGCAAAAAAATGCAAGTTTAAGGGAAATAGACACTTACCCTTGAAGAGCCGACCTCCAGCAGTTTTTGGACCAAGTTGGTGAGCTTTCAACCTCTACAAATGACTTCCAAGGTGCTGGAATGGATGATGGGGGTGTGGTGCTAAGGGTTGTAGTGGAAATGGACCAAGAAAGTTAGGGTTTTGGAGCTTTGAGTAGTGACAATGGAGGAGGGAGGTGATAAGCCTTAAGCAATTTTGTTCAACCCTTAGATATGAAGAGGAGGGTCTCTTTTATAGAGAAGAGAGGTCAAAGCTTCTCTTGGAAGCTTCAAAGATCCTCCATACACGTGTATGGAGGATGCACCAAATTCCCCCCAGCTGGCACAGTTGTAAAGGATTCAGAGAGGGCAAAAAGCAAGAAGCAGGCCGGCCAGTTCAAGTGGCCGGCCGGCCACTCCCCCTGGTCGGCCAACCAGGGGTCAAAAGGTTCAAGCCCCAAAGCTAGTCATCCATGAAGCCCTTGAAGTTAGCTTTCCAATGCCGTAAACCTTGCATTAAAATTCCTCCTGTGCAAAAAGTTATGCCAGTTTTGGTGAAGCCGCGCAGATTCGTTCCAAACAAACTTCAACCAACCATATCTCCCCCACCCGGACTTGTCCTTAGGAGATTCTTGAGTGAAAAATGAAGCCCCGGAAGTAATCTTTCCAATGGTAGTGGTCTCATATCTTAATTCCTCCTGTGCAAAGAGTTATACCTGTTTCGGTGAAGCCGCGCAGATGTTTTCTCTCCTTCTCGGATTCATACTGAACCACTTTTGACCAAAAATATTGGTCGGCCATCTGATTTTCTAGTTTTCCATGTGGCCACATTGAAGCCCCAGAAGTTAGCTTTCCAATGGCACCAACCTCGTATTTAAATTTCTCCTGTACAAAGAGTTATGCCCATTTCGGTGAAGCCGCGCAGATTTGGTCCTATCCGGATTCATGCCGAACTTCTCCCAAACTAGATTTGCTTCTCTCTTTTCTTCTTTTCTTCAACTCTAAACCCCTAAGTAAGGTGTTTTGAAATTTTTTTCAAAGATTTCATCTCTCTTTCATTCATTTCTACTTTGTCCTTGCTTGGTTTACCGAAAAGCGCGACATTTAACAAAACGTGAGCCTTGAAATATTGTAGGAATTTTATTTCAAAAATGTTTTGAAAGAGAGGGTTTTAAGGTCTAAAATCTTTTGATCAAGATTGTTTTGGTCCAAAAAGGGGTATGAAGTTCAGATTTGACTCTCCTCTTGTCGAAGAAATCGACCCTTTGCACTGCACAACTTTCAAAACCATCAGTCGCGTCCAAGTCTTAAAGGCGGTTAAAAATGGGGTGTCTACAGTTGCCCCTCTTTGACAGAACTCGGAAGTCAAGAAGTGACGGGAGTGAGTGTCAAAGCCTAGAGACGACCCATTTTTGACAAGGCCGAAGACTTGGACAAACAAGCAAAATATAGATAAATAAATGGTTGTGCCCGCAGGCTACCTACATATCCCTTTGCAAGGAATCGAACCAGCGTAGTTCAGGGGCAGG